AAAATTAAATATTATGAATTAGGTAATATTTAAATGTAAATTAATTGAATTAAATAAAAATTATATATTAATTTCAATATTAATTCAAGAAACTGTTTTTTATTTTTATTTTAATAGATTTAGGTACCCATGTGACTTTTGTCAGTAATTTACAAACTGAAAATTCCCACATTGCATTGCCAATTCAAATTTCAAACACCATTTTCCTCGGTAATTAGCCAACTAGTCCACCTAGTACGCCACTGTTCATAATAGATAGAGACATGATTCTTGTCGATAACTAGCCCACCATCCCACCTATCAAGACACTGTTTATTGTACTTGGAGACATGATTTTCGTCGGTGAGTTACCGACGTGAGTTACTAGAAAAGAACTTCGGTAGTACTGTTCCAGGACAACTTTGGACACATATTTTTTGTCGGTAATTTGGAGTTATCTTACCGATGTAACTTTTATCCACGTCAGTAAATGAATTACCGAGGCCACTTTCACCGAGAACCCAATTACCGACATGATTCTTATTGAAAAATTGCTTTACCGACGTGATTTCCTTTCTTTCCCATGTGATTTCACGTCGGAGAATTTATGAATTCTAGTAGTGAGGATACTAGTTTAATCAATCAAACTATTTAATCTAATCTAATTTAAAAAACATTGATTTTAAGAATGAATTACAAAGTTAATACTAAGATACAATTGCATAGTTATTTGTTATAATCACATAATTTAATTATTTTTTTATTAGTTTGTAATTTTTTTGTTAAATAATTAGTTCTTATGTCTAAATTACATTTGTACTTAAGTAAGATTTTGGGGCTGAAAATAGGAAAAAAAGGTGGGTTATTGTCTATTTCTAGTGGTACCTTGGTATTTAAGGCATTGGGAAAATATGAAGGTGTTTTAAAATGAGGGGAAGTTGCGGAGAAATTGTTTACCTGCGATACACGCAAAATCATTTGTATGGATTAGGATAAGGTGGTTGGGAGTGTCATTTCATTTCATGAGCCGGTTGAGTGTGCTGTTGCTATTGAAATGCATAAGTGGTCTCTGAAGCAGTATCGCAGGCAACAATTGATGCATGGCTAGCGTGCGGAAAATGAGGCGTTGCTATTTGTTGTGAAGCAATATCTTTTGGTAGATTGTTCTTCATGTCTGAATCCTATGGATGTATGCTTTGTTGATATTGATCTAGGATTGTAAGTTGT